GATTGATAAGCTCAAAGTTACTCTCATCACTCCACATAATGTTTTCCCATTGTTCTATTGTACAATACCTTCTTTCCCGACACCATTTTAGTCTCCTTTGTTTATCATATGGACACAGAAGCGGTTTCTTCAAAGCAGTGTAGACTCCAATCTTGTATTTGATAAGTATTCGGTGGACTGTGCTTTGAGAAATAGATGTATTTCGCGTTGTATTGAATTCTGTGGTCAATTCTTTGTAACTAATTCTTAGATTAGCTCTGACAGCTCTAAAAAGAACACTATCGTCCTTTCCGGTGGTTGACAAGGGTTTACCTGGCCTCCTTTTCTCGCTGGCACCACCAGTGTGAAGAAAGTTTTGTTTCGTTGTCTGAATGCATTTCTCAGAAACTCCAATTAACTTGGCGATTTCTTTATTACTTTTGGTTCCTTCTTTGATGTGCGCAATAATTTGCCATCTTTCACCTTGAGTGATACGCCTTCTGCCCATTTTTCGCGTCTTTTTAGTGCAAAACTAACTTAACTTTTGTTTATTTATTAAATAATGATTAAGTAATTCCAGGTAAGTCATATTTATTTAAGGTTTTTTGACAAAATCAATTAATTTAGGCCTATTAATAAGAAATATGGGAAAAAAACTACTAATTAACTATCAATTAACAAGATATAAGACTTTTTTGATTGTGCGTCTAAATTTATGAACAAAATAAAATCAAGCTTATCAATTAACTTTTTGGTGTTAATCGGTATAGAATGAGTAATAAACATCCTGTAAAAAAAAATTAAGGTACTCTATAATAGAGTTTCACTTCCTCTTTTAAATTATATATCAAACATAGCGGTTATTTTGAGTATTTTCTTACATATATGGAAATAAAATGAATGCGTCTAAATTTATAAAAGCTACTGTATATATATATATATATATATATATATATATATATATATATATATATATATATATATATATATATATATATATTAGGGTGAATTAAAAAAATTAAAATTAGAATATTTATATTCAATAGCAACAAAACGTTGTTTTTTAGCATGGGCTCAAATAGTGGAAAAAAAAATTCTAAAATTTAAATGTTTTCAGCTGCCTAGTGAGGACAAAGCTACTATAATAAATATTTTTCATGATTATTGACTGTTTGAAACAATAATTTTTTTCTGACAAATACTATAAGAAAAAACTGTAAAAATTGAAAAGGATGACATTTTTTTCATCAAGTATACACATATTTTGATGACCTTATTAGGTCATCAAAATATATTCTTTCTTATAATTATTAAAATGCTCTAAGAAGCCCTAATGGTCTTATCACAGAGCACTGTTACATGGAAAGTAGCATTTAATAGATGAGCTCTCTGTTTCCAACTCTACCAAAAGCATCTTTGTGCTGAGCTGGAAATCGAACCCAAAATTTTGCAGTCTGAATCTGAATGCTTGACCACTATGCTCTGGCTGCTACAAATATGTATGAACATTTACAAATAAATATGAATGTTTCAATCAGTTACTGTGTTTAATGGCATGACACAATAACAAAACTTTTTTACTCTGTCAGCGATTTGATCAAGTAGTATGTTATTTTAATTGATTCTATTTTACCTTTATATGAATATTGATTATTGTGAATAATTATTTAAAACCATAAAAAAAAACAGTATAATTGTCAAAATTTTGATTTAAAGATTAGTAATTCTACATCATGTTAAAGAGTGCAATAAAAATATCTATTCATTTATCATTTTAATATCTTTTATCCAGTTTTAGAAAATCTATATTATGCGTTAAACCGTCATTACACTCTATTACTGTATTGATTTGGAAACTTGAAATTCTGACTTTTTGTTAAGCATTAGCATTATGAGACTTGCATGTAAACGCGAAAAAAACTTGTGACTTTTTTCCACATACAGCCATCAAAGCTTTAGTCACAAGTTTGACACACTGCTCTACTGATTTAATATTGCATAAAATTCTTACAAACTCAATAGTTAATTGTCCACCACTTCTTAAAAACATCTTCCTTGGGTACATCAGCTGTCAATGGTGGCTTGGTTATTTTAAGAATGCACCTTAATTCTAAATCATGAATGGGTTAGCATTCGTCACTAATCATTGCTAGTAAGGGATTTTCTTTAAAGACAAAATATCTGTTACATTGTAATACAAGATTTACTATGTCTGACAATTCTAGCAATAAGTAATGTGACTGATGAATAAGTTTAAAAAGGTTTTTTTTTTAGAGCTAGTGAACACTCACCTTTGGATATTGTTTTGTACATTTCCCACATATACTTTTGATCTGTTTTTAGATTATTATGTTCAACTTTTAAAAGAGTTATATCAATCTTTTCATATGCAACATCTGGTAATTTCTCACAATTTACAAGTGCCTTACCCAATGTGCCTGAAAAAGTATTTGGCTCTGTAGTTGATCCATCCAAATAAATCAGCAAATGTTAAAGAGGAAGTCGATTTGCATGCAAAAGGCAAATCAACCATTGCAGCGGTTTGTTATCTTCTTTTTCCATCAGCTTAATTTGCCACCCTAGCTTCCACTGTTAATGGCAGTTCTGTCACATCTAACTGCTACAAACTTCTGAATGTCAATATTTTTGATAGCAATAACGTTTACCATAGAACTTTTTATCAAATAAGCTCTCGATTCCAGATGATGATAAATGCCAAAGACATTTAGACCCAGATTCTTCTATTAGAGAGATATCCTCTTCTTCTATTAGAGAGATATCCTCTTCTTCTAATAAAAAATATCCTCTTGTGCAATATTTTGTCAATAAAACTTTAACTCTTTCTTGATATTTTCAAGTGTTTTGTCTTTTCGTCCATCAAAATAAATTCCACATACTATTTTTGAATTTTTAGGTTTTATACAATTGCGCTTTCTTTTATGTTCACGTCGTATTTAACTTAGATCAATAACATGAGAAGTATCTCGTTGATTAACAACACCAAAATCTTCCAAAACTGCATTTGCTACTGCGGGTCCCACTCTATCTGAGATGCCATACCAGTCACAGGTGCTTGCTAAAGCAGAAAGTGATTGCTGACATTTAAACTATGAGGAATTAATAATGTCAATTGAAGAAAATTAGAACCTTGATTAATGTAATTATCATCTTAATGGCTTTGAGCTGTAGGTTGACTTGCAATATCACCAACCGTAGGTTGGTGATATTGCAAGTCAATCTACCCAGGTTGACTTGCAATAGGTTGACTTATTGCAAGTCAACCTACGGTTGGTGATATTGCAAGTCAACCTACAGCTCAAAGCCATTAAGGTTTTGAGCTGTAGGTTGACTTATTGCAAGTTGACTTGTAATAATTCTTATTGCAATAAGATTTATTGTAAGTCAACCTACTCAGCTGCTGCTCAGACTTCATGGCTAGTTTTGACTTCATGGCTAGTTTGTTTGATGTATGTTTATCAAAATTGCCGATGCACATCAATTTGAGAGTTCTCTGATCTTGGATAAAATCTTGCTTTGCAAAAGGAACTTTGCAAGCTTTGCTACATACACTTTTCTCAAACACACATGTACAGGTGCAGATGTCAAACAATTTGTGTCCAGCATCTTCTTTGAAAGCATTTACTTTGCCATCATAATTTCTGTGTTTGATTTTTTGCAATAGTTTTCTGTTTTTATCATGACAGCAGCAAATCATCTTTAATATTTGCATATGAGTGATCATCAGAAGTGACGCTTTTAACCATATTTTGTTGACAGTTAATACAACCTTCTCAGAAATCTCTATCATACTAGGCTCTTTTGTAGCTGCTATCGGCTTTGATTGATATTTTACATGCAAGTAATGTTTCATTGCATCATCATATGTTTGTAAAAGAACTTTTGATATCTCTTAAGGCATACCAAAGACAGTACAAGTCACCCTCATTCTTCCCACTAACCTAGTAGCCATATTAAAGATATATAGTTCTACAATAAACAAACTTTTTATTAGATTCATAAGTAATTATTGATTTAAACATTAGTTTTCACAGAAAGCCTTGTTAAACCAAAACATCAAACTGTAGTAACTTTTTATTTTTAATAATAATATGCTTTCATACAAATAATTATGTTGAAACTTATTAAAGAAAATATGCTGAAACACCTTGATTTTTATTTTTAAATAAAATTTAAGAAAAGGCTAATAAAACAATAATAATTGCCCATGCAAGTTAAGTGCTCATTCAAACTGTTGTGTAAAATATTCACAAAACTTAAAAAAATGACTACACACTCAAATAACTGAAACTTTTTTTAACGATGGTGAGTTGCCAACACTGCATTAAAAAATAACATTTAGAAGAGCTTAAAACATGTAATTTTTAACATTTATTGAACAATTATAAAGGTGAAATAACCAAGGTAACCAACACAGGTTAGGTGAAATAAAGGGGTTAGGGTAATAATTACAAAAGGTATTGTATTTTGTGCTCTTAATGTAAAATAGGCACTTTAATTTTTAAGAAAAAACCGAAAAAAAACAAAGAATAGTAAAAGAAAAGATTGCTTGCTATATAAGTGTGTGTGTGTATATATATATATATATATATATATATATATATATATATATATATATATATATATATATATATACACACACACATATATATATATAAACATATATATATATATATATATATATATATATATATATATATATATATATATATATATATATATATATATATATATATATATGTATGTATGTATGTATGTATATATATATATATATAATATATATGTATTAATTTAGGGCAGTGTAGTACTAATAGTAGATACCAACTTTAATCCTCATATTCTTTCAGACAAGGAATGAAAAAATCAAAGTATCAAATTTTATATACATTACCAATCTTGCTATAGAAGTTTTTTTTCTAACCTAACTACTATGGGTACCTATCATTAAATGATAAGTCTAAACACTATAAAAGTGTTACCGTATTTATTATTTTACTATTTAGATATTAGAACTTGATTATACAAGTATAAATGTAGTCCAAGAGCGTACAGCACAAATGTATATGAGTATTGATGCATCATCTAATCCACCTACTCATTTTCAAATAAAAAATTTTAAGCATTATAACAATACAGTTATACTTAGACACATAGAAGATATAATACGTTTAATAGCAATTCATGGGGACATGTATTTATTAATTGACCATCTAATAGAAAAATATTTGAATTCAATGCTTTATAGAATACAAGCTGTTTTGGTCATTAATACAATAATTAGCAGCAGGGAAACTTATGGTATGTTTTTATAATGAAAATAAATTTTTTAAATGTTTTTATCTGTTTTTGTAAATAGTGATGTTTAGTTAGCAATTTTATTTTCAGAACATAACTGTGATCTCAACCCACTAATAGAACTTCTTATATCTACATACATTCAGGAGGATTGGTGGAATTTGCCTATCAATAATTTATTGTATCAAAATTTTAAAAATGAAATAATTAGAGAAGATAAAAACTTAAAAAATCAAGTAAGTATTTCTTTTGAAACGTTACATCAAAACATTCAACTGATTTCTGCTTTGCTAGAAGGAATTAGTACTTTTGCAAAAGTTATGAAAACTGATTTTAACTTAATTAATGTGCTATATCCTGTTCTTGAAAAAGTTGGAAGCACAAATGCCACAATTAGTAGAACTGCTCTTCAAACTTTACATGATATAGTAAAGCATTGTGGGTATTCTAGCATTTCAGACTTAATTCTCAAGAATTCTGACTACTTAATTAATTCAATTACTCTTCGTTTTCGCCGCTTTGCTAGAAATTCAGCTGCAACTTCAGTATTATGTGTAATTCTAAAATATTCTAATAGTGATATAATGTCACTTGTTGCTGACGCTACTGGTGACGTTTTCAGAATTTTAGATTTTTATCAGGAAGAGGCAGCTTATGAGATGTTAAATGTTTTGATGCATTTATCACAAGCAGTAGACAAATGGTTTAATGGAGTAATTGACGAAAAAGAAAAAGAAACCAAAAAAAAAAAGGTAGATGAATCTTTTGTTATTTTCATGATCTTCATATTTGTTGAAGAGTATTTTTATGTTATGCAAAAATAAAAAAAATTACATCATTATGCTGAAGCTTTTGTGTTTTACTGAGACTTTATCAAAGAAGATATTTCTTAATAATAATATTTGGAATAAAATGATTCAAAACGAATTATTTTTGTAACGCTTTCTTCTTTAGGATGATAACAAATTTGATATTATGAATAATAGCATTCCAGTTGAAGATTTTTTTACTGCATATTCTGAAGAATATTTGCATGCACATGGTTTCATAAATGAATGTGAAATTGATTCTAGCAATGATTGCGTTAATGGTGATTCTAATTTTGATGATACAGTTGATGTTCAAAAAGAGGTTCCAATCCATTACAGAGCGGTTATAACAGTATGTTTATATTTCTGTAATTTGTATAATTGTTTTTTAATTTTAAGTAACCAATTATATTCCTTGGATTAAAAGTATTTTTTCATAACCCATTTTGCTGAAAACAAATTTTTGTGACCAGGACAATCATTTTTTTAAATTTGTGTGTTTTCAAGGAAGTTTTTGATTCATATTCAATACTAAGCAAATTTTTAGAATTTTCCTGAATTGTTAGAATTGACTAGTAGGTCCATGAATTTCCCAGAATATTTTAGAATATTTAAGAAACTTAAAAAACTTTCAAGAACATTTTCACAAACTAAGTCCAAAAGTAGTCATACAGTTATAAAAGCACAAGTGACTTGAAAAAGCACAGGTGACTTGAACCAACATTTCTTGTTATTGGTGAACAAAAAAATAGCAAATCATTTTGTCAATAGCAAGTTATTTAATTTAAATAGCATCAAGAAATTGTTTGCATCCAGCATTTTGCTACATTTATGTACAATTTGTAAAGACAAGGTCAACAAAGTATTCTGTTGAAGCAAGTTGTAAAATATGTGTGTGTGTATGTATATATATATATATATATATATATATATATATATATATATATATATATATATATATATGTTTAAAAGGCATGCCTATCATGGATCAGGACAAGTCTATGAGCAATGCATTTCACATGTGAATGTTGCATGGAATTCTTGAAAGGGAACTCCTGAGTTTATTTGCAACTCAGGAGTTCCTTTGCATCACTTAGGCTTTTCATTTTCCAGACATCTCCTAATCTATTGCCTCATTTTCATCAAGATATAATGGAATGTCATTATCAAGAACAATATAGCAAAAAACATGATGTGGCACTATATTTGAAGACTATGAAAGTGATTTACAGTATACTCGCAAATTTAAAAAATCTTCTCTAGTCAGACCAAAGAAACAAAAATATGAAATTTTTTTTATTCTGTTTCAATAAAAATGATTTTTGTTTGTGTTGTGGCTATAAAGTCAAAATTTGTGCTCAATTTATTTTATTTTTTTTCCAGTCTTTAGACATAAGCA